ATATTTCGCGGGAAATCAACGATCTACACGGTTCGGCACGGTTTGAATCATCGCCGGGGGACCACGTGACCGACACCGAACAGTCAGAATGGTGGAAAAAAACAGTAAATTAACGCCGCTACAGTATTTTCTAGCGGCGTGCGTGAATCATCATCGGCTGGTAATCCGATACAGACAGACGAGTTTCCGGTTCTCTCGTTAACCGATATATTTACGTCACGCGAACGTTTCCATGGTTGTTCGGTTCGAATCCGAGAACGGACGTCTCTGGATCTACGTTCCCATGCGAACCATTGGACAAAGGTGAGCCGTTCGCCGTTCCTCCGCTTAGGCACGAAACGGAACGTGAATCATTCACGAGCCACGGCGGCGGCGGCGACGGCGGCGGCGGCGGCGGCGGTAGCGGCGGATCCATCAGAGTTTCTAAAATTAACTGATAGTCGCGCTCCGCGAATGATAAGTGTATGCCTCCTCGTTACATCCTAAACGCGCGCGTAACTTCCTTCGACGTCGAACCTAAAGCAAGGACTCCCGTTCTAAAAGTGGAACGCGACAGAGAGCTGGATTCCCTCGGGTCGCCGCCAGCCCCACTTTCTCGTTGTAAAATTCTCACTATTGTTCCCGATGCAACATAATCGGGCACAACGCGCTGCGTCCGATCTTTGACGGGATTCTGGGTCGAATTTAGTAACACCTCACTCATTCCTCCATCCAGGCCACTTTTACAGCGCCAGAATTATTTGAACAAAATTCGACTCGAACAACATTTCGAATAAATTCCTCCAATGAAATTTTAATCAAATATCGTTTCGAATAAATTCTTCGAACATAGTTTCATTTGAATAAATTCTTCGAATATAGTTTTATTCGAATGAATTTTTCGGATATAGTTTTATTCGAATAATGATTCGAATATAGTTTTATTCGAATAATGATTTGAATAAATTTTTTGAATAATGAGTCGAATCAATTTTTCGAATATAGTTTTATTCGAATCAATTTTTCGAATATAGTTTTATTCGAATTATGATTCGAATCAATTTTTCGAATAAAATGTGATTCAAATAATATAAGGAATAAATTCTTTTAATCAAATTTGGTTCAAATAATATAGCGAATAAATTCTTCGAATAAAATGTTATTTAAATAATATAAGGAACAAATTCTTTTAATCCAATGTGATTCAAATAATATAACGAATAAATTCTTTTAATCAAATTTGATTCAAATAATATAGCGAATAAATTCTTCGAATAAAATGTTATTTAAATAATATAAGGAACAAATTCTTTTAATCCAATGTGATTCAAATAATATAAGGAATAAATTCTTTTAATCAAATTTGATTCAAATAATATAACGAATAAATTCTTCTAATAAAATTTAATTCAAATAATATAACGAATAAAATTCGTTAAAAAAGAAACAAATTAAATCCCGAGCCCAAAACCCGACCAATGTACATATATCGTTTCACAACAATAACAATATTGCATTTATTCAAATTTCATTTATAAAAATGGCTCGTAAAAATATTTCTATAACGTGACAAATTCTAAAAGGAAATATTAGAACAAAAGCGTGCACCGAATGTTTGTTCATAACCTTCATTAACATTTCTCGTAGCAAATACGTCCGTTCCATTTGATTATCGATTCCCTGTCTACACTTTGATTAATATCAATTAATGTCTGTATGCCCGTACACGATTGACTAATCAATTATGTCAATTATCAGTTGCAACGTCGACGTCGCTTAGATCAGCCGAGGATTCCCGTTAGACGTTTCTATAGACAAAAAGATGTCCAGTGGCACGTGACTTGAAGACCATCGGGATTACAGCAACACGATGATAACGATGATTCCCTTCTGTCCGTGAATCACTTCTACGTCGATATGTCGCGAACGCGACAAAACTCTGCTCGAGTAACAGGCCAAAATATAGGTGAACCGGAGAGCCAATGAGAAAGTTGCTCCAATTACTCCTATCAGCCGAATGGCACACTTGGCAACTGGCCGCTCGGCGGACAAACACTTGCCAAAACGCAGATCATTATCTGCCCGCGACTTTATCAGTCGATTAACGCGTTCTCTCGTTTAACCCTTTGCGCTCGAAGCCCGTTGAACCATAAATCTAGAATAATTTTTCTGATTTATAGTATCTCCATTTTATACGACAAAGTGCATTTTATGCATACGAAATTGAGTCTTGCTGTGACTTGTACAACAGTTAGACTTGTAACAATTTTTCAAATTTAAACTTTGTTCATATAAAAATTATCTTGGAGCGTGAATGAACGATTTTAGTGGTGTCTCAGAGTTACCACTCCAGTGCAATTATAGTATCTCCATTTTATATGACAAAGTGCATTTTATGCATACGAAATTGAGTCTTGCGGTGACTCGTACAACAGTTAGACTTGTAACAATTTTTTAAATTTAAACTTTGTTCATATAAAAATTATCTTGGAGCGTGAATGAACGATTTTAGTGGTGTCTCAGAGTTACCACTCCAGTGCAATTATAGTATCTCCATTTTATATGACAAAGTGCATTTTATGCATACGAAATTGAGTCTTGCGGTGACTTGTACAACAGTTAGACTTGTAACAATTTTTCAAATTTAAACTTTGTTCATATAAAAATTATCTTGGAGCGTGAATGAACGATTTTAGTGGTGTCTCAGAGTTACCACTCCAGTGCAATTATAGTATCTCCATTTTATATGACAAAGTGCATTTTATGCATACGAAATTGAGTCTTGCGGTGACTCGTACAACAGTTAGACTTGTAACAATTTTTTAAATTTAAACTTTGTTCATATAAAAATTATCTTGGAGCGTGAATGAACAATTTTAGTGGTGTCTCAGAGTCACCATTCGAGTGCAAAGGGTTAACAATTGGCCCGGTATACCGGTCGAAAGGGTTCGCATCTTTTATATTCGAATTGTTGACGTTGCGAAGATCCGCTCTTAACATTTCCATGACCGCGCTGGAAACCTCAAAAATTTTCATAAAATTAAAATATTTCATTCGATTAAACAAAAATTATGAAGCAAACTTATATGGGATCGATTACTTCTTCAGCATTCGTTCCTCTTGCAAATCTTAATAAAATTAAGCAATCATTTCTAATTTTTCATTAATCATCCATTCGGTCGTCAATCGACTGAATTTAAAACGGGGAGATCTCCCCGTTCGGTTGGCTAAGTGTTAAGAAACGATCGAATGAGTTCCATTATCCGAGCTTGCTTCGTAATAACCCCATACTGAGAAGGTCCTTGTGCGAAATTAAAATTTTGTGACTCAACCACGGCGAGCAAGCTGTTTTTAGCACTAAACCCATCGAGTACTTGAACCGACTGCGTTAACGATTTTGAATCGACCCTTTGTACTCGAATCCATTTCCAATTCTAAATCTTCCGACCCGCGATTAGTATGTTCTGTGCAAATGAATCGAGGTCTCGTTATAAAGCTTAGCAACAAGTGTAATTATGTCAGATCATATACAGTACATATTAAGTAAAAAATATAATGTAATAATTCTATGGCGACTACGCTTAATGTATATGTACATAACCTTATTTTATATTTTATTTTATTTATTATATTATAAAGGGTGTCCCAGGTTTTAATGTTCTAACTTCGTCAGTATATTATATATATATTATAATATATAAACTTTGTTAGTGTATTCTATGGCACACAGTAAGAAAGAAATGTTATGTAAACATAGGTCATATAGAGCTTTATTAAGAAGTTATAACAAAAATTCAGAATAGGAATATAGTAATCAACTAAAAAAAAAATAAAAAATAAAAAAAATCTTCGATCGATGTCAATCATGTATTGTCAACAACGGTTATTAATACATTTCGAAATGTATTAATAAACACAGCTTACATAAACACACGGCTTGTGCTGATCTATTCAAGCCAATGCTCGCAGTAACAGCAAATTGATTACTATTCCTATCCTGAATTTTTGTTATAACTTCTTAATAAAGCTCTATATGACCTATGTTTACATAACATTTTTTCTTACTTTGTGCCATAGAATACACTGACAACGTTTGAACATTAAAACCTGGGACACCCTGTATATCGAATTGTTTAGAGATTCAACTTGAAAGTCGAATTTTTAAAAACCCGAGGATCATGTTGAACGATTTAGTTCGCCTTTGGCACATATAAATGCGTGAGAATAGACTATAGTTTACCAAGATCGTAACGATCGTTACGATCGACTCTTAAAAAAATCGATACCATTATTTTACTTTGTGCCATAGAATACACTGACAAAGTTTGAACATTAAAACCTGGGACACCCTGTATATACAGTGTTCGGATTTGCAGAATAACCTCTTTATAGAAGTTAAAACTGCCGAATAAAAAGAGAATCGCGGTACAACCGTGCCTTCAACAATTAAAAAAAAAAGCATAAAGTCGTCACTCGAGTGCGAAAGGGTTAAACGGCTGTAAAACAACCGAGTTGATCAATGAACTGAAAATAACGCATGAAACGGTTTCGAACTTTGAATATCTGTTCGCGGTATCGAAGATCGGCTACGAATTTTCACAAGAAACGCATCGAATCCACAGTCTGGCGATAACAAAGACGCGAAGGTCTCGCTGTATCCAGTCTATTTTCTAAAGCAACGGACGTTGGCCGCTTTCAGGTGGGTTCACCGTTGAACCGCTCGTTCGCAAAAGACTCTGCAAGCAGAGGCTATCGTCCGCCCACTTGTTTCTTCATTATTTATACCGTTGAACGGCTGCCAACGTGGTAGACGTCAAAGCACGCGAGATCAGTACCTTAGGAATTAGAAGCTTCGATGCTCGAGGGCATCGAAGGATCGAAAAGACACGAAGGAAGCTGGTTTTTCTAACGGGAATAGAAACTTGTTGATCGCCTGAGAAAGAGAGAGCGAGAGCGAGTGCGAGAGAGAAAGAGAGAGACAAAGAGAACCGCAGAACCGAAGGAACGAAACGCGCACTTACCTTGAACCGTTCCCAAGACGAGTCCCTGAAACGATACACGAAGATCTCAGTGATTTCTCCGTGGCGGCGCGTAATGATCTAGCGAATATTACTTAAGCTCGAATCTCTTTATCGTCCGGCGGGGTCAGAGACCCACCTGGTTGATGGCCGTTGCCACTGTCATCTCTTCCCCCGCGTCTCCTCTCTTCCCGTTCGGTCGCTTCTCGCTGCTCACCTTCGAAAAGGTGGACACACAACGGACACGGACACAGCGGGCACGCGCACAGGCGAACGCTCACGCACAACGTGGCACCGCACACACCCGAGCCGAAACTCACACTCACGGAATTCACGGTTCACGATCAGGCTACTCCTTTCTCTTCGCATTCTTTGACATCTCCGCCGGAGTTCTTGCTGCCACAGTCGAACAACCACTTTGCGTGGACGTGAAAACGAAGATTCCGACGATTCGTATCTCCGCGCCGATACTTTTCAGGATAATCGACAGGGACGATAGGCACAACCGTTCGCACAAAGAGAGAACACGGACTGACACTAGCCGACCGAGGCAGCTCCGGCGGCGCGATCACTGCTACCGCTCTTTTTCTAGTCGCTCGGGAGACTGGCGGTACACTGACGCGCGGTGCATCCCTTCCCCTTAATATTATTTTCTTCTCTACTCCCACCACTGTCGTCGCTGCTCGCCTGTATACCAGGTGGCACTCCTAAAACGATGCTCGAATCTGCTGTTGTTTCGTCGATGGAATCGGGCAGTGCCGATCGAGAGCAACGATTCATTTCGTAGCTGCGACGAGATTGGAGTTAACTATAAATTGCGTATGTTCTTTTGTAGGACGTACTTGTTTAAATTAAATTCATCTTTTGACAGGTCACGTATTCGATTTTATTTCGAATCAAATGATCATCGTTTTGAGGGACATGCTCGTTTAAATTCACCCTCGTACAGGTTATATTCGATTTGACTTCAAGTTAAATATTCATATATTTGCGGATCGTGTTCATGTTTTTAGATCAAATTCGGTCTCTTACGGATCATGTTCAAATTTTTTTCATTGTATTCATCCTTTGGCAGGTCACCTTGAAGTATATGGATGAAGTATATTTTTCGTGGATGATATTGAATAATGCGTTGCAATTGTGGTCAACAAGTACGATGAAGGTACGTTTGCTGTTAAATAAATATTTGATGTTCGCTCGTGCACAGATGCGATGGAATAACAGCAAGTTTATATTGAATTTTGTTTTTATTAAAATTAGGTAAGGAAACGTAATAATAGAGAGAATTTGATTTGCAAACGGATCAGTTTGATTTGGAAAAGAGTGAATACGATTTGCAAAAGGATGAATTTGGAACGCAAGAGTGTGAATTCGATTTGCAAAAATTACCATTACTGGATAACCGCTATTAAGTAATAAGCATTGCAAGTTCATTGTTACCAAGAAATTAAAGCGATATTTAAAATTTAGGATGAGAAAACACTGGCTCACAATGATCCGATAATAATAATTCGTTCTAGAAAATAAAATTACGTCGCAGCGACGCGGCGTCATACTACTTAACAAATTTTCATTTAGCTCGTGATGTAATCAATTAATCTATAAAACACGAATGTGCGTAGGATCCATAGTTTGGCGTAGACTAAATGGCTCCATTTTGCTAAAGGGTCTTTTATCGCCGATAATTATCTTGCCTGCCTCTAATCTATTCAGAGATTGCACGTGCGTTTTTGCAAACATTGATAAAATAAAATTTACATTGACTTACCTGTAGACGAGTCGTCGTCACACAGCGCACACCTCTTGTTAATTAATTTCTTAATTGTTGACGTTCTAAATTCAATAACAATCCTTAAACTTTCTATATGTATGGTGTATGTATGACAAGATTATTAATATTTCATTTTACTTATTAATTTCAACTTTGGCCAATCTTTTAGTTGTATTCAATATTTTGTAAATATAAATGTTATTCGATGTATCACTATTAAATAACTAATGCTGTATAGAGCATGCAATATCTTATATAATTCCACGCGATTTATGAATCTCGTGTTTGCGATTAAATATCTCGATACTAAATTTCCTGATTAATACTTAATGAGTACAATAATAATGTACAATAATTAATTGCAAATTGAATTAACTGTTTTACAGGTTCCATTCATGCTCTTGCAAATAGAATTCATCCCTTTGCAAATAGAATTCACCTTTCTGCAAATAAAATTAACCCTCCTACTCATAAAAATTCTCCCTTTATTCTATTATTAATTAATAATAGAATAAATCCCTTTATAACTCCCTTTATTAATTATTATTATATATTATAATAGTACAAGATTCGTTGTAAATAATTAACCTTCGTTAGTCTTCAATAATCATTTATAAAATGCAATTTGATGTTTCAGTTTAACACGAACTTCATTGCAAAGAAAACAAAAGGGTAAATAAAGCCCTTAAAAGAATTCATTCGGAGTGCAAGAAAGTGAGCCTGATCCGCGAAAGGATTACATTTGGAATGCAACAAGGTGAACGTAATGGTTAATTTTTACTGTAAAATCTGCTCTAGTTCTTGTAAAATTCATCGATATTCTATCTTTTAAGAAGCACACACATCGTGCAGCGTTTGGAGCGCTACTGTGTGAAAAAAGAAGCGAGCATCTTTATGGACCACGTCGACGAATATTAGGGACTTGAACTCGGCTGATCATCCGGGCCACGTATGCGTCATGTAATTGCTATCAATTGCTATCCTCTCCGGCGAGCCGATGATTTTTAACAACTGTAGCACAATTGGATACGATCTTTCTCGTTGCGGATAGGGGCGGTTTGTGTATCGAGTGTTCTACGTTCGCTATTCACGTCCTATCTCTGCTGTTAAGCGACACTCTTTGGAAGTCAACGACGCTCACGGCCACCGTCTATTCGTAGAATCTACATTAACCCCTTGCAGTACTTCGACGAGTCCGACTCGCCATGACAATTTCTCGTAATAACTTATTCAGTATAGATGTTATTCTGCCCATTAACATTGGAATAAAATTCTAATCTCTTGTCATCAANCTGTGTGAAAAAAGAAGCGAGCATCTTTATGGACCACGTCGACGAATATTAGGGACTTGAACTCGGCTGATCATCCGGGCCACGTATGCGTCATGTAATTGCTATCAATTGCTATCCTCTCCGGCGAGCCGATGATTTTTAACAACTGTAGCACAATTGGATACGATCTTTCTCGTTGCGGATAGGGGCGGTTTGTGTATCGAGTGTTCTACGTTCGCTATTCACGTCCTATCTCTGCTGTTAAGCGACACTCTTTGGAAGTCAACGACGCTCACGGCCACCGTCTATTCGTAGAATCTACATTAACCCCTTGCAGTACTTCGACGAGTCCGACTCGCCATGACAATTTCTCGTAATAACTTATTCAGTATAGATGTTATTCTGCCCATTAACATTGGAATAAAATTCTAATCTCTTGTCATCAATATTTAAGCATTCAAGTAAATTTAGGCACACAATAAGCATCAATTTTTTTTCCCTTCTGAGTAGAAGGGATATTATATAGGATAATAAGGGATTCTTATAAGGGATTAACCCCTTGACATACGATCTTCTTCGCAGTTACTGCGATTTGAAACTTTTCGATTGCGATAATTAAGAAATTATAACTAATAATATATGTTTAAATGAATATAATAATTATATAATAATATATATAATAATTATATAATAGTATACATAATAATTATATAATAATATATATAATAATTATATAATAGTATATATAATAATCATATAATAATTATATAATAATTATTAATAATTAAGAAATTATTGCAATCGAAAAATTTCTAATCGCAATAGCTGCGAAAAAGTATGTCAAAAGTATGTCAACATAACATCCCTTATAAGAATCCTTTATAATCCCTTATAATATCCCTTCTAAGGAGAAGGGAAAGGAAATTGATGCTTATCGTGTGCCTGATTTTACTTGAATGCTTAAATATTGATAACAAGAGATTAGAATAATTTCTTAATAATTGCAATCGAAAAATTTCTAATTGCAGCAACCGCGAAGGAAATGGTAAATGTCAAGGGGTTAACATAATGTGCAACATATAATGCCCATAGAATATGCGTAATTGTAAACGTTGCATTGTATCGGTACAATAAATGTTACCGATATTCAATTGTCGTAAGGGACGTCTAGATTATCGCGTCACGTCATTGTGCAAATTCTGATTGCAGTCTCACGATTGATAAGCTATCTCATTGTATTACATTGCACCGTATCGTTACGAAGCTTCGAAACTATTAAAAGTGTCAATGCAGAAGATATCGGTTCATTTTATAACTTTGTATTAAAAGATGCATGTCGCAGCCAGTTACAATTCAAACGCTGTTCAACGAATGTTGAACGAATTCAAACGCAGTTTAACGAATTTAAATAGTCGTTACGTGCTGCTTATGTAAATAGTGGAACAACGATAATTAATTTATTCAACATTCGCGCGCGAACAATGAATGAATTGACTTTATTCGTTATTTAAAATTTCCGACTGAAAGAACGATTGCAAAGGGAAATTAGAGTGATGACTTTGATAATTATATTACACAAAAATCATCAAGATTGGAATGAGATATCATTTTCGAAATAATAACTTACTATTTTTAACAATCATATTATTATCGTGACGACTTGCCGAGTCATCATAATTAGTTTGACACCGAGAGAAAAGATTGAGAAAATGGAAGACCGATGTGATACCGTTTTGGAAATAATTCCCATCGTTTCTTTATAACAATTCGTTGCATTAGATTTAGAAGATACTTGGTTAATTATAATTAAATATTTAATTAGAATTAGAAGATACGATTTAAGAACAAATTTAAGAAAACAGAATCATTACGAAGAACGTCCCAAAATTACCGGGCCCCGAGTGATTTGAAGTAACTTTTTCCTTGGCGAAAATGCAATCCGTCGCTTCGTTCACGAGTTATTAACGCAAAACAGTGACCAACGAGAGATCGCGTACGCCGACGCCCCGCCCTCACGACCACTGCCGCTGCGCAGGCGACCGGCGCGACGCGATGCGAGGGCGGAGCGCCGGCCGCACTCGCTCTGCGATTGGTCAGTGTTTTGCGTTAATAACTCGTGAACGAAGCGACGGATTGCATTTTCGCAAAGGAAAAAGTTACTCCAAATGATCTCAGGAACCCCTCATTTCCCGGAAGTACCGTAATTTTGGAACACCTTGCAACAAAGTCTAGCGATTAAAGTTGAACGAGCGTAATACCGTCGATCCTTGGGTGAAA